ATATGACTTAATGAAAATAGATGTCATGCAGGATCGGGAATAACATTTAACTCAGGGTATTTATTATGGTCATGGAATAGTGTTCACTGGACTTCAGAGGTGCTTTTCCCAATCTTTTCATCACGAATCTTGTTAGCGATCTTCCTCATTCCTGAGGGTTCTGACTCCCAGACTACCTCCTCCTCCCCTACTTCATGCATTAGTTTTTGTGTGTTTGGAAATGGCAGCTCATTGTGTCCGGTGTTATTTCTCAGAAAATCAGCCATTAGTAATTCTCGATGTTTGCTGAGACTACACTGGTATGATTTTTCCCCTAGATCTTTGGAAACACCACGTCATAAAAGAAGACTTTTCAGTTGTAAGACCACACATAGTTGAAAAATTTAGACAAGGATTAATGGAGAATTACAAGGAAGGTGAACTAGAGGTATGTATCAAAAGTTAGTCATTTTGTGTTTTTCTTTTTTAACATAAATCCGAACAAGGAAGACTTTTTCTACACATCTCCTAATGCTTCCCTTTCTCTCTAAGAGTGATGATATGAATACTGAGGCTGAACCCAAATAGTAATCATTTGTTTTTAATTTTGGAAAAAGATTTACTTTGAGTGAAGACTTGAGTAATTAGCAAAAGTATTTTGGCTAGTTTAAAATTTGGTCAATTATTCAAAGTAACCTTGGAGCTGGTTTATGAATGTGTTGATGTTTAGCAACATTTCCTCTTGTTGAAAATTTTAAAAAGAAAACTAAAATAGCAATACTAGCACTACAGAGAAAAAAAATGTTTTAAATGGACGATGTAAGAACTGATCCTGTAACCTAGTGGTTAAGGGAGCCAGATCCCACATGACCTACTGTGATTTGATCCTAGTTCTGGCAGCCTGAAAAGCATGCTAGGCACATATGCATATGTACCAAACATCCCAGCAGGATGGAAAACAGAAGAGAAGGGATTGCAGCGTGGCCATGCCCCATTGGGGTCCTTTCTTCCTCTTCCTCTTTCTCTCCAACGCTGGCAAGTGCATGAACCCTCTCAGGAAAAAAAAAAAGAAAGAAAGAAAGAAAGAAAGAAAGAAAGAAAGAAAGAAAGAAAGAAAGAAAGAAGAAAGAAAGAAAGAAGGAAAGAAAGAAAGAAAAGTATACAGTATAAAAAAATCCAGTAGCACAGAAAGATAACATTTTCACCCTTCCCCAATCTTTTATCCCCAGTTTAAGCATCAACTATTTGTGTGTGTGTGTATCCTTCCAGGAAAATATTTGAATCCATACAACTCTATGTAATAACCTTATATTTAACAATAATATGTATTTTATGTGTACACATGGTCCTTGGAGTTTTGAAACACGTTTATCCCTGGCAGAAACGGCCTGACTAAATCAAAAGAATCTGTTGAAAAGGCAGGAAAAGGGAACCAGCAGTTAGCGTAATGGCTATGTCGCTGGACTCCCATGTAGTCTACCGTGGTTCAAATCCCGGACCTGGTGGCTTAAACTCACGCCGGGCATGTGTGCGTGTGTGCCCAAGATCCCGAGAGGAGAATGGAGGAGAAGGGATTGCGGCATGGCCATCCCCCCTGGGGGGTGATTTCTCGCTTTCTGTCTCTCTGTCTCTCTCTGTCTTTCTGGCGAGCACACGCGCCCTATAGCAAAAATCTCTCAAAAAAAAAGGCAGGAAAAGAGAGTGCATGTGGGTATTTGGGTATAAGAGTTTTAGGACTGTTACCAAATGTTTTAGATAGATATAATCCAGTTTCCTTTGAAATTCAACCACTTAATAAAACCCTGACTTGGGAAGTGTACTGAAATTTTCAAAACAATTTTTTCTCCGAATTTACATTTTTCTAAGTTCTTCAAATGTTCTCTGTCATTTTATAATACAAACTTCAGGAGTTTTTAATGTTATTTTTAGTTTGCTATTTCTCACTTTCTCCCTGTGCTCACCAGAGAGAAAGTGAGAAATCATCCCCAGGGGGATGACCGGGCCATAATCCCTTCTCCTCTATTCTCCTCTTGGGACTTTAGGCACACGTGTACATGCACCCAGTGTTTTTCTCAAGCTGCTATGTCTGGAACTCAAACCACACAGTCAGCCATGTGGGATCCAACCACCTTAACCTCCATTATTTATTTTTCACATGAGTTTTGCCAGAGAGAGAGAAAGCAAGCTGCCAGGTCCAGGCCTTGAACCACAGCCCGTCATGTGGGAATTCCGGCACCTTGACCACCACGCCACCTACTGACTCCCACACTTCAGTTCTTAATTATGAGGTAGAAAATCTACAAGCTTGGTTGTGATGATTTACATTTGTTTAAGCTTTCACCTATACATACATGGTTCTGTGTACTCCGATGTTGGGGGGTGAGCGGTGTTCCATTCTCAAGGTACAGAGGTAGTTAGGGTAGGTGTGTTCAGAAAAAAAAAATGTGTGAATCATGATAACTAAAAATATTTCTGCTCATCCCGTATTTGTATGCCTCACCCCAACATTGAGACAAGTTCTTGTAGGAAAGAAAAGTGGACGTTAGTAATCCGGGCAGTGCCGTATCAGGTGCAAATGAAGCTGGGGTACGTGTTAAGGTGTAGCCTGCCAGTGTCTTGGAGTCATTGAATCATAGGATCTCAGGATTCTTGGTTTCTCCATAGCCTATGCCTGATAGGTTTCTAGCCTCTTCTGGACCATCTGCAGTGACAGGGAGCTCACTCTTCCAAACTCTGCCCCACCCCCGGGCAGCGCTTGTTTTAGTCAATCTCCTGAGATAGATTTGGCCTCCCCTCCATCTCCGTTATGTTCCTGAGACACTGCAGATCGTGGTTCTGACCTCCAACAGCAGCCTTTCGATGTCTGAGAGCATTGCAATCAGAGACGCTCATTAGAACCATGGCTAGCATGGGTGAAGGTGTGGATTACAAGTAAGGGCTCACGCCAGGAGGACGAATCAACACAGGCGCCTCCCGGGACAGTGGATTACAAATCACTACCCTTTCCTCCAGGCAGCACAGCCCATGCCAGACACAGGGACTGGAAAATAGAACTGCCCTGGGCTCTCCCTTTGCCTGGGTGCCTCTGTGCAGAGCACAGACCACACAAGCCCACTCCAAGGACCTTAGCCTGTCTGCTCTCCTTCACACTAAACCATCTCTGTCTCCTTCAATCATCTCATGTGAGCACCCTTGCCACCCTGGTCAGTCTTCCGTAAACCCAAGGGTGTCTAGCTAGCCACGAGCGCCCATGTCCTAGATGCCCTGCTTTGATTAATGTCTACGAGTGTGTTGAGTTTGGGCAGCCACATCGCGGCTGACCCACCAAGCTCACTGTCACCTGAAGCCCACACGTTGCATTCAGACAATCTGCTGCTGCCGCCATGTTATCAGCATTGTTCTTGTTCAGTTCTGACCCACTGAGCTCACACGTTGAAGCCCACACGTTGCATTCAGACAATCTGCTGCTGCCGCCATGTTATCAGCATTGTTCTTGTTCAGTTTGATCCGCTTTCTTGGTGTGTTTTTTGTTTGTTATTGGTTTTTGCCAAAGGGTTCATGTGCTCGCTGGAGAGAGACATTGAGAAATAGAAAAAGAGAAAGTGAGAAATCAACCCCCAGGGAAGATGGCCATGGCACAGTCCCTTCTCCTCCCTATTCCTCCTGGGATTTGGGGCATGCATGCACGTATACACGGTGTGATTTTCAAGTCACTGGGTCCAGGATTTGAACTACGGTTAGCTATGTGGGGGTCCAGCACCTTAATTGCCATGCCACCTGCTGGCCTGGTTTACTTTTGAAAGTTTTTTTTATTTTTAATTTTTTTAGTGCATGTGTACTTGCCAGAAAGAGAAAGAGGAGAGAGAGAAAGTGAGAAATCACCACCTGCAGTGGATGGCCATGTCACAGTCTCTTCCCTTTCATTCTCCTCTGGGGATTTTGGGCACAAGAACACATGCACCTGGAGTGTTTTTCAAGCAGCTGGGTGTAAGGCTCAAACACACAGCCAAGTGGGACCCAGATTCATCAGTCCCCACACCCCCAGCTGGCTCAATTTGGTCTATTCTTTGAACCGCTTGAGATCTTAAATATCTGAATTTTTATCATCCAGTTTACTCTTTCTTCCTGCCAACTGTCAGCCTACCCTCCATATCCTCATTTGAGTCATTATCAACACATGCAGGGCAGGCCCCAAGCCCAGTGCTGCCTGCTAGAGGTCCTTCCAGGCTGTGCAGGTTGTTTGGACACAATCTTTTTGTGGCCAGAAAACCCATCCAATTGCCACCAGCCTCTGTTCTCCCATTTATCCTTCTCAGATGTCTTGCTGAAAGCCATGTACGCTATGTCTACTATATTTTTTGAAGAAATAAAATTAACCTGACCTGACCTTTCCTGAACTCATGTTAGCATCTAGTAATCATTGCCTCTACCAAATTCTAGAAAACCAGACTTTCATAATCAGTTCTGACATCTGCCCAAATTTTATACCAAACACACTGGCTTGAAGTTAGAGACTGACCTTTTTTGCAAACTAGGACTGTAATAGTCTCTTTTCTGAATTTTGGAACCAGTTCCATTCAGATTCCAAGAATCATCCATTCATTCATTCATTCAACACGCACTTACAGATTCTCTGTTGTGCTTTTCCCAGGTATTTTGTTAGAGCTATAAAGAGTATAGTTCCTGCCCTCAAAGAGCTTATGGAGACAATTGGGTAGACCGGCAGTGTCAAAAAAAGAGAAAGTGAGAAATCAACCCCCAGGGAAGATGGCCATGGCACAGTCCCTTCTCCTCCCTATTCCTCCTGGGATTTGGGGCATGCATGCACGTATACACGGTGTGATTTTCAAGTCACTGGGTCCAGGATTTGAACTACGGTTAGCTATGTGGGGGTCCAGCACCTTAATTGCCATGCCACCTGCTGGCCTGGTTTACTTTTGAAATTTTTTTTTTATTTTTACTTTTTTTAGTGCATGTGTACTTGCCAGAAAGAGAAAGAGGAGAGAGAGAAAGTGAGAAATCACCACCTGCAGTGGATGGCCATGTCACAGTCTCTTCCCTTTCATTCTCCTCTGGGGATTTTGGGCACAAGAACACATGCACCTGGAGTGTTTTTCAAGCAGCTGGGTGTAAGGCTCAAACACACAGCCAAGTGGGACCCAGATTCATCAGTCCCCACACCCCCAGCTGGCTCAATTTGGTCTATTCTTTGAACCGCTTGAGATCTTAAATATCTGAATTTTTATCATCCAGTTTACTCTTTCTTCCTGCCAACTGTCAGCCTACCCTCCATATCCTCATTTGAGTCATTATCAACACATGCAGGGCAGGCCCCAAGCCCAGTGCTGCCTGCTAGAGGTCCTTCCAGGCTGTGCAGGTTGTTTGGACACAATCTTTTTGTGGCCAGAAAACCCATCCAATTGCCACCAGCCTCTGTTCTCCCATTTATCCTTCTCAGATGTCTTGCTGAAAGCCATGTACGCTATGTCTACTATATTTTTTGAAGAAATAAAATTAACCTGACCTGACCTTTCCTGAACTCATGTTAGCATCTAGTAATCATTGCCTCTACCAAATTCTAGAACACCAGACTTTCATAATCAGTTCTGACATCTGCCCAAATTTTATACCAAACACACTGGCTTGAAGTTAGAGACTGACCTTTTTTGCAAACTAGGACTGTAATAGTCTCTTTTCTGAATTTTAGAACCAGTTCCATTCAGATTCCAAGAATCATCCATTCATTCATTCATTCAACACGCACTTACAGATTCTCTGTTGTGCTTTTCCCAGGTATTTTGTTAGAGCTATAAAGAGTATAGTTCCTGCCCTCAAAGAGCTTATGGAGACAATTGGGTAGACCGGCAGTGTCAAAAAAAAGGAAGGAAGAGCTCTCATAGAGCCTGACCAGGATGTTCTGTCAGCTCCAAGAAGGGGAGACCCAGCCCAGCTCAGGAGTAAGGCAGAAAGTACCCAGGAAAGGATTCCAGGAGGAGGTACTGTTCAGGCCAAGTCTTGAGGCACAAGGAGTTGTCTGGGTGAGGAGACGAGCGGGAGAAAGAACAACCTAGGAAGGAAGAGCAGCAGATTCCACAGAAGGACCTGAATGGGGGGCAGGGCCACATGACGAATGACTTTGCGTGTGATTCTGGGGCATCTGCACTGAGTCACTGAAGCAGTTTGTCAGCAGAGGTGAGTATTTCAGAAACATTCTCAAAATACCTCATGTGTGCCTGATATTAGACGAATTGTTGTGAGGGAGTCCAAGATGAAGCAAACCATGGACGTGCAATTCACACACAGCAGGCTCTGGGTCCAGGCTGTTGCCATAACAGGGCCTGGCATCTGCCAGGCATCACCCCAGCCTGGCTCTCTCCAAGAATCTCTGGGACAATTTGGTGCTCTTCCAGCCAGCGCCAACTCTCATGGTTCAGATTTAAAAGTCAATGATAGGGGCTGGCAGGTGGCGTGGTGGTTAAGGGTGCTGGACTCCCACATGGACGACCACGGTTCGAGTCCTAGACCTGGAGGCTTGCTTTCTCACTTTCTCTCTCTATCTTTTTCTTTCTCACTTTTCCTGTCTCACTCTGTCCCTCTCTGGTCAAATTAAAATAAATAAATACATGTTGATGATGGAATCAGCCCAGTGGAGGGGCGGCTGCTCACTGAGTCATGGCCCAGCCGTGGACTTTGCTCGGGTGGTTCCAGATGCTTTCAGAAAGTCAAATACACAGCCGGAAAAAGGGACTGCTGGGAGCCTGGAAGGCCCCCTGTACCTTCCTCTCACTGATCCATCATGGCTTCCTGTCTTTCCATCTCCTACCTGATCCCATTCCATACACCCCTGCAGGTGTTCTGCCCATACCCGCACTCCCTCCCTGCTTCAGCCTCACTCCCTCTGGGCCATTCCCTGGAGCTGACCTTTAAGCCCCATCTCCTGAAGTCTCAGCAGAGCTACCTGGAGAAAGCAGAAACAGATTTCCCTGGCCTCCAGAGATGTGAAAGGGGGTTCTGGCCTTCACCATCTCTTTGGTGTTACATGAACTCACCAAAGGGATCCTTAGCCTTGCTGAATAAGAAAGATGTCATGTTGGCTAATGTCGGCTAAAAGGGGATGGCAGAGGGCCACTGTGGTTCAATTCTGCATTTCTGTTTGCTTGGAACCCTTTTTCTGCAGGGGCTGTCATGGCATTAGTTTGGGGAGTGTTTGCCCTGCTATAAAGGGGCCCTGTTGGCATGCCCATGTTTGGGCGAGGATGCCCAGGATAGTAAGGGCTGAGTCACTGTGGCTGGCTGCGAACACTGGGGCTGGATGAGGTCATCAGCCACACCTTGCTGGCCTCTAGTGTGGTCTTGTGACTCCTCGTGACTTCAGGCTTTCATCAGAGTCAGACCTAGAAGTGTTAGCTTTGTCATTAGTGAACCCACATAGCCTCACCCTTTCACCATAGAGAAGTCAAGGTCTAGGGGACAGAATCTTCAGCTCCCTTTGCCTCGTGTCAGCAGCTAAACTATGGCTGTCCTGGAGCTGGTATGCAGGGGCTAGGTGAGAGCAGGAAGGGCAACAGGGCCAGGATAGCCTGCCCACCCCAGGCCACTGAAGGGGCTGCTCGAGGAGGGCCCTAGAGAGTACACCAGAGGAGGCTGAGCTGCCTCCTGCCCAACTGCCTGGCTATTGCCTGTTAAATCCAGCATGGTCCGAGGTTTCTTCTCCTGGTTCCATTGCACAGATCTCGATTGCGTTCTGCTAAGCTGGTGCAGTTTGACTTTGAAAGGCTTAACTATCTCAACTACTACATATATATTATTATATATGCACTATAATATATAATATTATAATGTAATATAATATATTTCTCTTTTTTATAATTGCTGGAGGGGGTATGTGCTTGCCAGAGAGAGATACAGAGAGAGAGAGGAAGAGAGAGAAAGCACCCTCCATTTGGCATGGTCATACCCAATTCCTCTTCCCCCATTTCTCCATTCTGTTGGGATTTGGGGTATACAAACTTGCCTGTCATGTTTTTGAAGCTATGGAGACTGGGATTTGAACTTCATTCAGACATGTGAGACCCAGTTGTCTTAACCGTCTGCAGGTGGCATAATGGTTAAGGCCCTAGACTCCCACAGGACAGACCACAGTCTGAGTCCTGAAATGCATGTGTGCCCAAAATCCCAAGAGGAGAACAGAGAAGGGATTGAGGTGTGGCCATTCCCCATGGTGGGTGATTGCTCACTTTCTCTCTCTGTCTCTCCAGTGAGCACATGTGCCCTATAGCAAAAAATATCTTCCAAAACAAACAAACAAAAAATCACATCATAGGCCCTGCCCTCCAAATATCGCATTCCCTCCCCTCCCGCCAGTAGCAGGTGAGCCACCCGCTTTCCCCACGCCTTCCTTCCTGCTAGGTCTTTTCACTATTTGTCAACTCCGCTAGCTTGCCTTAATGACTTGCTTTGCAAAACCTTTCCCTGAAGGTAAGTGGGGCACTGAAAGGATAGTGTTCTGGGTCCTCTGGGATAGCCAGTCAGAGCCAGGGAGACCACCCATGCTCTCAGGGCAGCCTAGCTTCTACAGTGGAATGCCTCTGAGCTGGGAGGCAGCCGGACCTTGGAAGTGTCATTGATAAAGCTCACGTGAGAGTGCAGGCGGGCTCCTAGGCCTGATCTCAGAAGCCCCCTTGACACACACTGACTGAGACACACAGAGGAGCAAGCGCACGTGGACTTGCAGGTCATTTAGACATAGGAGGGATACAGGGGCCTCTGTTTGTCCTTCCTGGCCCTGCAAATGTTCTGAGCAGCTGCAAAGAGGCTGGTGAGGCTAGAGCCAATGGCTTGGTATGGAGGGGGAACGAATATGGGTCTGTGAGTCAAAGCAGCATGTGCCTCAGCCCTGGTGTGGTGAGGTTGCCTGCTGCAGCTGCTGTGAACGATGCTCCTTCCTCTTCAGATCACTTTCAGGAAAGACCACCTCAATGCCTGCCTTGCCTCCCTGGGCTGCGATGTTATGGCAAGAGAACGCAGCAACTTCGAGACCTACTCCATGTGTTATGAGCACGTGCTGCAGCATGCTAGGCAGAGGCTCTGTCAGAAGGAGCAGGTGGGTTCCCAGAGAGAAAACTGCATTGAGGCATGGGTGGGCAGGGAGGCCCAGAGCCACGCCAAAGAAAAAAGTAAGGCTGAGCCAGGGTAAGGAGGAATGGTTCTCATTCAGGTAATGGGGTGCATGCTATCTTCGGGTTTCTCTTATTAGCTCGTTTTCTTAGGCTCTTGTATTCCCAGTTGTGAAGGCAATAACTCTGGTAATACAAAAGGGAAAATGTGCTTTCGAGGTGCCCAGAGGGGAATGTGGGAGTTGAGCAACAATGTGCTGGACCCCAGGGAAGGTACATGGCTGACCTTCCCACCCTCGACAGATACAAAGCACCTTGTGCTGTTCCTAGCAAAGAAGCCAGCATCCCTGAGCAGACTCTGTCTTCAGCGTGCACATTATGGGCCGGTCACACTGATGAGACTCCTAAAGACACAGTCACACTGTGCGACACAGTCACTCACTTAGCAACCATTTATGAAGCACAGATTGTTTGTTCTGGGACCTTCAAGTCGGCCTTGGGTTCTTCTGCCCACATTTCTGCAGGAGGAGTTCACCCTCTTTATTAGGTTCAAAAAAGAAGTGCAGATTCAAGGAAGTAATCTGTAGCAGCCATTTGGATTTTCTAAATTGTTCTCCATTAAGATGCACACAGACACACACACACACATAGATGCATATAATCTATCCGCCGCTAGGTTGCAGAGCTCAGTCATGGTATGATCATGGAAGTCACCGCTCTAAAAGCCCAACTCGCAGACTTGGAAGAGGAGAATCTAAATCACAGTCGCACATCCAAGAGTCACTCTCCCGTCCTAGGTTCCCCGAGAGTGTATTTGTACTTTATAGTGCACAAAGAACAAAAGTCAAAATCAAATGAAACATTAAAGTAGCAAATAATAGGTCTTGGATTTGCCCCCACGTGAGCCTGTCCCCATACTGAGTACTCTGTGTCAGTGTGGCTACCCAGAGGTTGCAGTCCTTCTTTTTTTTTTTTTGGAGAGATTTTCACTGTAGGGCGCGTGCGCTCGCCAGACAGACAGAGAGAGACATAGAGACAGAAAGCGAGAAATCACCCCCCAGGGGGGATGGTCACGCCGCAATCTCTTCTCCTCCATTCTCCTCTCGGGATCTTGGGCACGCACGCACACGCGCCCAGCGTGAGTTTTAAGCCACCAGGTCCGGGACACGAACCGCGGTCGACTACGTGGGAGTCCAGCGACATAGCCATTACGCTAACTGCTGGTTCCCTGCAGTCCTTCTTCAACGCTGTGTCCAGTGGGATGACAAGCCTCGTGCTGGCTCTAGGCAAGCCTGAGGATCTCAAAGTGAGGCTCTATGAGCACAGATGGGGGGTGTCTGGAGCATGTTGTGCT